AAAGAAATCCCTGCTCTAATAGAAAATAATAAACTACAATTTCACAAGTGAACATTCATAAATGGAAATTTGCTTAAAGAATTATAGATACGAATTTCTTTTTGTAATCTAGGGACTAGTATGTCTTTGATGTACTCTGGGTCTCCTATCTCAGGATTTAAACTGAGATCAAAGACTGGGCTTGATTTTTCTTTTTTTTGACTTTTATCCACTTTAATGCCTTCCAAGAAGGCAAGGAAATAGATAATTTTGACAAGGTAGATCCCAGTTAACAGCATTTAGGGTCTGATTACTAGTTATGGGCAAAAAGAGAATCAAGTGTAGGCTGTAGCATTTGAACTGGTGTTTGAAGGATATGAAAGTGAAAATCCTAAAGTGGATGGCTTTGAATGAAGTATTAAATAGCCTGTACTTTTTCCCTTGACAGTTGTTTACAAATACTGGTTCTCAGAGCTCTCAGGCCGTCTCTAGGAGTTGAGTAAGAGTTGAGGATATGGCTTGAGGAAATTTTATGTTTGATGACTAAAAAGTTTTGATTAATTACATTCTTAGGTTAGCTATAAAGCTCCTGTTGTTTACAATCTTATTGAAAAATATTTCCAAATCAAATTTTAGAGTTCTAAGTAACTTGAGATAATTAAATCCAACCCCTTCATACTACAGATGAGGCTTGAACGATGAAAAATTGGCTTGTCATCACACAGCTAGGTAATGAAAGAGCTGATAGTGATTCATGATCCTGTGATATTTCTGCCATAATATTATTCCTCCAAAGTTTTAATTGATTTTATAGTATAGTCTACACTACGTAATGGATATTTTTCCTTGATATTGAATCTCAATCAATAACTCTAGAGATGGAGAAACAGCTGATAAAGACGATTATCCTTAATTTGGCCTGACCAAAGTTCTGTTTACAAGATAGGTACCAGACCTCAGGTCAGACTTGACCTGACCTCAAGATCTAATCTGGGCATTACTACTTTGACTCTAACTCTGATAGATATTCTTTCTTGATATTATCTTCTTTCTCTTCAATTAAGTTAGGTATAGAAAACAAATGTTTCACTTCGAGTTCTGAAACTATGTCCAATTAATTAAGCCTTAAAAATCATTCTAGATATACAAATATTCCAAATAAATTCTAAATATGATTTAGAATTGCCTATCATTTTTATGTATAACCTCAATGGCTTAGGTTCCAGCTCAGAAATCAAGTTGAGTGAATATTTTCTATCCTTCCATCATAAGTATGTGAAATATAAATGAATGATCCCTCTTCATTCCATTTATTTGTGGTCACATGAACATTTTCCCTGAGAGGACAATTTTTGGCACTTATAAACCATCCTCACAATAATCTATGTAACTAGAAAAGTTAAAAAAAAAACAACAACATTTTTAAGTTCAGAAGAAGCATGCTTTTGTTCTTATTTATTTAGTTAGTTTAAATTGACACAAATAATTATACATATTTATGGGGTACATAGTGATGTTGTGATACATATAATGTATAGTGATCAGATCTG